AAAAAAAAAAGCATAAAAAATTTAAACGGAATTTAAATGAAAGCCTCAAGGCCACGCCGCCATGAAATGTCTAGCCTCTTTAAAGAATTTGTGTTGAGCGTGAAGAGGACGGCTTGATCAAACTGTGTGAGGAACACCAATTTGAGGAGCTGTATTTACTAATTAATTAACAAATGCATTTTTGTCTAGAGTTTTAATGTGCAACTGCAGTTGAGAATCAGCAGTGTCTGCTGGATTTTCTGAAACTGCTTAGAAGTAATTTCAACTTCAATGAATCTTTTATTGTTCCATTATAGTTAATTCCCATGTGTTACAAAACCCAAACATCACAAAATAATGATTCAGTCACTTCAATAATGTGAACGCAATCAAGCAACAGATGAAATGGTGAGTCTGTTGCTCGTTAGCTTGGCCCCTGTTGTCATGAAACATGAAATCATGAAACTGTTTAATTCAGACTAACTGCTGTACACTCATAAATAGTGCCAATACGGCTCCCTATCCTAGCATTTTATGTGACATCACACTGTATAATCGCTGCCATTTTGAGGACTAAATAGGGAACTTAATGTGCTAGTGAGTTTGGACAGCTATGTTTGCTAGCTATCTATGCTTTGGGACAAATGGGATTATATCAGCATCAAGTATTGCTAGAAATTAGTAAACGTTACGTAGTTAGCTGATATCAACTTACCCTCCCTATAATATAAAGAGTTTCTTTTTCTCTTGATGAAATGCACTGGAATCCTTTACCCACCTGCATGCGAAAAGCTGGGAGGCTTCTGTGCTCTTAAATGCTTTGAATCACTCTCCAGAAGGGAGGGGATAGGGAGAGGGGTTGTGTATATATGTATATATGTACATAATTTAAAAAAAAAAAAAAATCACATGACTAAAAGGCTAGGGTTGAGGATCTTTATTGAGGATGAGAATACGTTGAAACGGATCTCCCTTGAGAATAAGAATTGCTCAAAATATTGATATTGCTCTCCACTAACGATAGGAATTGCTCAACGTGCTGATGCTGTACTCTGTTGAGGATGAGAATCACATGCACTGGACTGCATGTTAACAAAAGTGGCCATGTGTCTACCCTTACAGAAATGTCACACAAACTTCACATGTAATTACACGATTCTTATGAATTTTACTATTTCACAGCACTTGGCAGACGCCCTTATCCAGAGCAGCTTACATTTATCTAATTCATACAACTGCTTAAGGGCGCAGCAGTGGCAGCTTGGTGGTTCTGGGATTTGAATTCACAACCTTCCAATCAGTAGCCCAACACGGTCACAAGGCGATAAATTTGCGACATGGTCACAAGGCTATAAATTTGCTATTGGGTCTCGGCAAAGGAACGAGCAAACAGTAATACTTCTCTAGTTCCAAAGAAAACCACCACTGGTAGAGAAGGTAGAACTTTATTTCTCCTGGACTTACCCAAACATGCCTCTTTGATTTCGGTCTTATCTGTTCGTCGTATGATCTTCACCACAAAGATTACAGCCAGGGGGGTCAGGAACGATATAGCCTGCAGGAGTAAATGGGAAAAGTCATCATGCCACAAGCTCTATTGCTGTCGTTGTTGTAATAAGCATATTTAAATTGTATTTAGGAATACTCCAATAAAAAGGCTCATTTTACCTGAATTATATGTCACTACTATGATTCATTATTACTAGCAACTGCTTCTCAGCTGTGGAAACTTGTGTGTATATCCATGGTCATTATTTAATCATCAATAATTCTAAACGAAAATGAATCTAGTCTCTTTCCAAGCTGAAAACAGATACTGAAAAATGATCATGTAAACAGCTGAAAATGGACTGAAAGATACTTGTTTGCTTTAGCTGTCACATGTGTAAGTGCAGTGTGTTTACTGTGGAAAAAAGAATGGTTATAACATATTAATAAAATCAGTAATAGATCCACTCCTTGGTATAAATACTCCTCAAACAATTCTTTCAACAGTGGCAGAAATCTATGCTGGATGTCTTCCAAAAAAAAGGATGAAGGGAATCTCTCATTAACTGCCATCTGCTGAAGCGTGATGGAAAGCAGTAGGTTCAGGTTCCAATGATCAGGCCATTCATGATTTCTACAGAGTGGCAATGATGTCTCAGACTTAAACTTCTCAGAGTTATATATTCACTCATTTTCCAGACAGGGTCGTGGGGTAGCCTGAAGCCTATCCCAGGGAGCTCAGGGCACAGGGCGGGGGACACCCTGGACGAGGTGCCAACCCATCGCAGGGCACAATCGCACACACTACGGACAATTTGGAAATGCCAATCAGTCTACAACACATCTCTTTAGACTGGGGGCGGAAACCGGAGTACCCAGAGGAAACCCCCAAAGCACGGGGAGAACATGCAAACTCCGCACACACAGGGCAGAGGCGGGATTCAAACCCCTAGCCCCAGAGGTGCGAGCCAACAGTGCTAACCACTAAGCCACTGTGCCCTCTCAAGTTTTACAGTTTAATCATAAAAGTTTATACATTTTAATAAAAAAAAAAAGTCTTGGATTATGAAGCATCCTGGATGCTTGTAGCAGATTGCTAAGGGCCTGTTGCTCATAATCCATAGTCTTAGTCTCTTAATTTATTTAGTCCTATCGGGTATAATAATGTATGAAACATATTGTGAATTAATGAACTTCTGAATTTACTGAAAGTGAATGTGGAGCCCGTACTACACATTATAAAATATAATTTTATTAAATATAATTTTACTTTTATGTTCCTAAATTTTATATTCCTAAATTAAATATATTTTATGATTTACAGCAATTCACATAGATATTTAATTAATATTTAATTTATATTTAATTTAATAAGCATTTGCTTTAGAATTATATACTAAGCTTATAAGTACAGCTTATAATTTTAAACCAAAATATCACCAGTTTTATCATTTT